TATAATTACAAGAGCAGATAAAGGCAATATCACGGTTGTCATGAACACTGCAGATTACGAAAAGAAGGCCATTGATCATCTTAATGACGAACCTTATGAAAAATTCGACGTGAATAAATCAAGGGCGACATTAAATAAGCTGAAGGCTGAAACAAGCAAGATGTTACAATCAATAAAAGAGAAGCTCGGTGTATCACTTTGGTTTACTCTGGCTCCAAAAAGTTGCAGCCCCTGTAGATTTTATGGGTTATCAAAAATACACAAATCAGAAGTTCCGTTACGTCCAGTAGTGGATTTTACTAATTCTCCAACATACAAACTCTCTAAATACATTTATCGAATACTTAGCCCATATGAAATGAAAGTGGAGCATGGAGTGAAGAATTCGTATGAATTTAAGAGAAAAATAAACTTGACTCATACTGAAGAAGATGAAGTAATGGCAAGTTTCGATGTTTATTCATTATTCACGAATGTTCCCGTTAATGATTCTCTAAGTATTATTTATAATTTACTTTGTTCTGACGACGAACTCAGTGGTCGTTGTCCTTTAAATCCAGACGAAATTATGAAGGCATTAGAATTGTGTCTTCGATCCACGTTATTTACATTTAGAGGGGTTCTTTAGCGTCAAACAGGAGGCATTGCTATGGGATCACCAGTATCTCCGCTAGTCGCCAATCTGTTTATGCACTCATTAGAAACAAATGCAATTATGAGATGCCCTAGTCCCCTAAAGATGTGGTTAAGATACGTAGATGATACCTTCGTCATAATCAAACGTAGTTTGTTAAATGAACTTTTTCACTTGGTAAACAATATGTCGGGAGAAAGCAGCATATGAAAGTGTGAGGCGAAATACCTACGAATATGCGACAGGGTCAGGCAAACAGTTTCCAAAGTGGGAAGGACCACATATGGTCACGTTGAGATGGGGTTACGCAGACACAATCGCAATGGTAAACACAGAGAAACAGGTGAACATCCGCAAGCGCCGAGATTCCAGACAGCAAGACAAAAGAGCAAAGCCCCAAGAACCAAGAAGACCGAACCAACTTCAGTCGCAAGTCTTTGACGGGGGACGAGTGTGGTGAGAGCTGGCTGCTAGCCAAAGTTGGTAGACAGTAATTGACGTCAATGTTTATGTCCCCAATATTGGTGGTGAGAAAATGAGAACAAAGGCTTTGCGTAGGCGGATACAGTTAGCATATGGATGATCTGACACAACCACAAAGAGATGCAAGGTTAACTTTCTGTGAGAAAAAACCAATCAAAAGACTGTATTTTCCACTAACAATAATCTACAATAATGTACATTAAAATCTATAAATATGCGTTGATTTTCCTTAATAAACGATCTGTTGCCTGACCCTTGTCTTCTGTTGTTACAAAACTATCAAGTTTTCCAAAGAGGTTGAATCCGATGAGAATGAGTTGGCATTCCTGGACTGTTTAGTAAGAAGAAAATTAGATGGCAAATTTAAAATAAACATTTTCAGAAAGCCGACAAATTCGGATAGATACCTAGACTACTATTCAGCTCACCCATTTACCACCAAAGTAACTGTGACCAAGAATCTGATCAACAGAGCCAAACGCCTAGTTACTGAGGAGGAAGATATTAACAAGGAACTAAAATTGGTTCAATCCACTCTTGAATCAAATAATTATCCTAAAGACTTCATAAAAAGATATTTAAAATGTGAAGATAAGGATGAATCGAAACCTGTTGCTAAGAATTGGGTTAGTACAGCGGTGATTCCTTACCGCAAAGAAACATCCGATGAAATAAAGCGAATCCTTAACGATCATAGCATAAAAGTGTATTTTCGTGCAAAGAACACCTTACGCTCATTACTGGTGAAGGTTAAGGATAAAATAGAACAAGAAAACCAGCAGAATTGCGTATACCAGATCAATTGTGGGGATTGTAACGCCGTATATGTAGGAGAAACTTCCAGATAGGTAAATGTAAAAGTGAAAGAGCATAAACAATGTCTAAAGGTGGTTCCAAAGACCTCTGCAGACTTCAAGAAGCTAGAAAACAACTCAGCGATTGCACTGCATTCGATAGAAACGGGACACAAAATCGACTTTGATGGGACTAAGGTTTTACAAAAAGGTTTTGGTTCATATAAGGAAAGACTGACTGCAGAAGCCCTACATATATGGGTGAGTCCCAACAGTTTGAACAGACGTGAAGCTGTGATGTTGGCTGATGCATGGTAAATCCTGACTAATAAATAAAGTTGGATATGTATCAACAACTAATCACACTTGGTCAAATTCCCGATTATCTACGTCTTCTTATGGAGAGGATAACACATGTTTTATTACTGTTCACCCACCCCCACACACACACCATTGTATACTGCATATATACATATATTTTAACAAAAGTAGACTAATTTTGAAAGTCTGAGGTCAAATTTTGATCACAGTTCATACAATTTTGTTTATTATACATGTTGATGCCTGTTTCATGGCTCATGATTGGACAAAGTTTCAAAAACAAGAGATGTTCCTTTTATATATAAACCTTTGTTATGTTAACTTCGATTAATTTCCCTGAAGAAGTTCGAACCAGATTGCCGAACGAAACGTTGGAATTGATCATTTTAATTTCGCTGAGATTTTACAAATATAATTTTATAAATGTCTACTTCTCACTCGGTGCTCAATTATTTTGCAACTATCCGGTCAAATCTTGATCACAGTTCATATGAAGCTTTAACATACTTGCAAATTTTACATGATGTTAGTTGACAGAAGGTTCGGCAATTAATGAACAGTGCTCAAGAAAATTGCGCTTATGTAGTTTTTGTAGTGCACTGTCTTGAATAGTGGTTGTTTATATTTAGTTTTATTCATATTGTTTATAAGCTTGAGATGGATGAATGATCATGTGATGGATGTGGGTAGAGAAAAAAGATTTTTGGATTTGAATTTTATTTGCGTTGCATGTATGTCAGTGTTGAAGTTAACACCTGCTTTTATATAAGAAAAAAGTTTAGTTAATACAAGTATTATGACAAGGGGTGGGGGAATTTATATGTACAGAATGGCGGGCCATATCAAAAAGGCTGATGTAATAAGGTATTGATGAATTTGCAAATTCCACAGCAGGTCAGGACAGTTATAATGGTTGGATTTGTTTCTTCTGCACACAGAACTCCGGTTGTCTCAGTCGGATGGCGATAGTCTCTGCTGTTCGGAGTATGCGGTACCTGGATATTTTTGGAGATTTGTTTGATACATGATAGATGATAGAGTAGGACTCTTCAATACTGGTTTTATGGCCGGTTTGGACCAGGTGTTCTAATATGAAGCTCTTCATGCTTCTAACTACACCTTTATTTAACCACAGGTCGCCGAGCTTGGAAACTCAAGTTCCTAGAGCAACGGCCAATATAACTCGCTCCACAAGCGCAGTTGAATTGGTAGATACAATTGGAAGTGACTAGTCTAGGTACTTCATCTTTCAACTGAGGAATCATCATTGGCGTGCCAGCATTATAAGTTCTTTGAACTGATTTTCTTGACTTCTTCGTAGTTATTTCGCTAGGTATATCGCCCTTGAATTGCAGTCGTATGTATACAAGCTTCTTGTTGACGGATAATGAGTAGTCCTTTTCTGCCTTTTTGGTCATGTGGTTCATGATGATTTTTTCTGGATAGCTATTTTCAATTAGGGTGTCATATGCAATCCTTAGTTCATTTTCAATTGCCTCTTCTGAGCATATAGCTCTAATCCCGTGGCTGAGGGTCTTTACTAAATTTCTTTTGTACTTGAGAGGAGCGAAGCTATGAAAATGTGTATATTGTCCTGTCCATGTGCCTTTCTCATTATACAACCATCTGATTTTCTTGTAAGGAGGACATCTAGGAAGGTAATTCTTTTTTGGGATTTCTCTTCTCACGTGAATTCCATAGCAGAATGTAGTCCATTGAATTGAGTTAATATTGTGTTCCTATCCGAATCATTATCACAAAGAATAAAGGTGTCATCCATATACCGACAATAAAATAAGAATTTTCTGATAAGGTTGTTCATAGGACCATTGTCTCTCTCTTATGCTGGCAGATTTCTTTCGAAGCAAACTAGCGAACAATCAGGCAAGTCAGCCATATTGAGTATGGACACCCATCGTCCAAGATGGCTGGTACAGTTACTAATGTCTTTGACAGCATGCTATGTAAACAAACTTGGGATTGAGTTTAAAAAGCGAAGGGTGGCTAGGTTAAGTCATGTTTCCAATCCATAAAATCACTGACTGTTAACATAAACTATGTAAAAAAAATTGCGCGTGTTGTAAGTCAGTGCAAACACAGAAGCCTACGATTAGAAAATTTCAGTGATCTGTCCCAGAATCCATTACATTAGAGCAGATTCACTCATACCTTATATTCCATTTAACTGTAATATCGTATCTCTGTTTACCATCTCTTATATTATATCCATCCTCGACTTTTATATCATCTCATAAATAGAGATCAAGTTTCAATACATGAAGTTAGTTCTCAAGACCAATTATAGTCGGTTGTTTTTTTCAAAAATTGAATCTCCGTCCGCTGATTTCCAAATTATATTCCCCACAATTGTCATGCATGTGCGCATATTGAAATACAGCCTTATGACCGTAGGAAAAACTGTATACTGACCAACTACTGCTATGTATGTATACATATATATCAGTGGCCGGCCTCCTAATTTGGGATACCGATATCACATGCTGAAAATTCCATAGTTATGCCAAAATACTGTGTGGAATCAAGCTATAATAAGGATTTTTTTCTAATTAGAAATTCCCATCTATATGTCTTCATCAAGAATACTACAAATTTGGTTATTTCAAAATACCATTCAGTGCTAAATTAAATTCCTTAACATAGCAAACTGAATTGAAAATTATTTTATTGCTCAATGTTATTTATATAGTTTTTTTTATTTAGTGTTAAATTGCGAAAGTCTAATGATTTTTAAATTTTGATCATTCCAGCATCAGATCACGCCAGCAGCGTATGTTCTTTTTGACGAGTTATACACCAATGATGATATCTTTCGCTCTATAATTCGGAATAAAGGAGCATTAAATGTTCGTCTTCTTGGAAGGTAATTTTTGTTTTAATATTTAGTAGTTATTTTATTTTACGTGTTTTCTGATATAAAATCAACTGTTTTGCTTATTTTAAGCTAATTAGTTCACCTGATAAATTTGTGTACTGCAATGGGAATATCTTTTACTAGACAAGATAAATTCATTTCATTTAGTAAACTTTTTTGTCAGCTGCACAAAATCTGAATAAAAAACTACGCAAATAGTGACGGTAAACTAAATTTCACAGAAGGACTTTTGGTTGATGGTAGTTTCAAATGCAAGTCAAGATGCGCAGTTCCTCCTTCAGATTTTCACGTAGTTTAACTTGACTATATATATATATATATATATATATATATATATATATATATATATATATATATATGAATATAATCATCGGTTACTTTGACATTTATAGAGGATACGTAGACGACACTTTCGTTATCTGCGTAATTCTTGATGATGTTTTGTTCACATTCAACAACTGCCATCCCACTTTTCAATTCACCATAGAAAAAGAATCTAAACTAAATATTCCCTTTGTTGATGTGTGCCTTAATAGACCCAATGAAGAGTCTCTTAAAAGATCCATCCACCGGAAACGTACATGGAACGGACAACTGATTAATTTTTATAGTTGGGTGCCTATCTCCAGGAAAAGGAACCTGGTTCATTCACTCTGCTTTAGGATAAGGAATATTTGCAGTTGTGATTGCGTTGACTCAAAATTTAACTTCCTAAAAGCCACGCTCGCAGAAAACGGTTACCCAAACTGATTTATTGACATTAACATGAAAGATAAGCAGTCAAAACTGGTCACCGACTCAGTTCCAAAGAAAACTTTATTTATAAACTTGAAATTCACAGGTGATCAATCTTCAGATATGCTCGAAAACCGTCCCTCTAAATCAGTCAGTAAGACGTTCTTTGCAGCAAAATTACATATGACGTTCACTAGCCGCAAGTTGTTCTGCACCTCTGTAAAGGATAAGCTCCCCCATCTGGCTGCTTCCATGTGCATCTATCAGTTCACCTGCTCTTGTGGAGCAAGGTACATTGGCCGTAGCCAGAGGACACTTTCCACACGGATACGAGAACATATTCCAGCATGGTTTTACAAGAGAGAAAGGAAGTGTGTGCGAAGCTTTATTCTAGAACACCTGATCAACTCCTGTCACTCTGTCAACCCTGATCATGATTTTAAGATCATCTACCGAATCCATGCTAACTTGCTGCGTTTTCTTCGTTATAGACTTCTAAAGACAGTGGAGGCTTTGGCCATTCATGAATTTAAGCCAAACCTTTGAGTACAAAAGAAGTACTTAGGACCTCTACTTCTGTCTTGGCCGTAGAGGGATATATTTGTTAATCTATGTACCTTTCCGTGATTACCACGATTATTACTACCATCCTCACTTTGAATCATTTCCACTTGTCATTCTAAGTGCAGAAAATATTTTTACAATGTTGAATCGGATCTTATCAAATTCGATGCTATGTTGCATAACGTTTTATATTCGCTTACTGATCCTATAACTATGTACCCCTTTCCAACATCCATACACCTTAGGTATTATTCTACATATGACATTGATTGACATTTAACTATGATTATGATGACAGTGATTTTATTCACCTAAATTTCAGAAGATTGTTCTGCATCCAATACTTCAGTTTTGATTAAACTTCACTGTTTTAACCACCTGCTCGATATCCACCTCCTCTTAGTTCTCGTTATTTCATTTTACTGTTGGTTATTTATTTTTCTATTTTTTTTATTTTTGGTTACAACTTGTTGCCACACTGTATTTTCAGTACAAGTATGGCATTTTCAGCATGGATATCGGTAGCCCAAATTTTGCAGGCCGACCATAGATATCGGGTGTGCGTCGGCAGGGGATCGAACCTCGGACCATGTGCATGGTCGGCGAGAGTCCTAACCACTGTGCCACCGACGCACACTTAGATACATCACGCTGAACAGAAAGTGCTTCCCAATGGTTTATTATTACATATTCTAGTTTGTTTGTGTATGTGCTAAACGGAAGGTATACGAAGTTTTGTTCAGGACATTATTTATTGTTATTCTTCCTTTGGGTTCTGAGTAGAACATAGGGCGTGAATAGCACATCTCCATTTCATCCTATTATCTGCGGTCATCTTCAGCTCGCCCCACTATTGCCCATAGTCTCTCATCTACTCGGACGATTTCTCCAATGTTACTCTGGAAGGCTTCATTGTCGTTTCCCTTTGGGGTTTCCCTCGAGCGATGTCACCCGACAGTCACCATATTGTGTGCCCTATCCATCTTCATTTTCTTGTGAATATTTGTTACTCTCACCCTTATTGACGTTTTAACGTCTAATTTTGCTCTGTTTCTACAGTGTTTCACGATTGAAGAGCTTTTTCGTTTATTTTTACCATTATTAGGATTTTGGCGTTCAGTTTACCTCTGAAACCACTACACAAATATAGGCAGGATTCATCGATCTCTGGCTTTCACTGGCTCTCAAAGTATCTACCGGGCTAGTAGTCCTAAGGCTCAGCAGTGGTAGTTTATGAATCTAAGACTATGTCAGATAATCTCAACCCCATTTATATTCGTTTTATGAACTTTTTAGGCGTCACGTAATGTAGTTAGTTATTGTTTAACCTCTAACTATTTTACGTCGTAATCAATATTTCTCTATGTACTGTTAAGATATACGACCGACAGAAATTGTTTGAAATCCGAAATGTTGAGATAATAATAAATCATAAATTAATAATATCACTGATGATATTTACTGATTTATTTCTTCCAAGTAAAAACAGATATAGATAAGTCGAAAATTATGTCAACTGAAGCTTCATTTTGTTCTACATCATTTTCTCGTCACAGAGATAAACATCCTATTATGTAAAAAATTATCTCATCCACTCTTGTTATGTTAGGAAATGATGAAGGCTGTCTAGAGCATGATGTTCACCTGCTACAGTGAAAGTTGGTGAAATGTGGTGTTTTGCGCGTTAGGTAATATCCGAAAGACTTCCCTCTATTACTGCAGACATCCTCCTGTTTTTAGCTACACTGTTAATTTAATTTTTATGTTATCCTTTGAAGATGGGTTCTTTGTGTTGACCATTCAGTATACTAGTGATGATTTTGATTTATGTTTGTTTTGTAATGCTTATGGTTCGTTCGCATGGTAAGTAAAGTTTGCCAGCAACCAATTATTTATTATTATTATATTTTGTTATATTAGTCCATTTGACAAATAGCCTATGATACAACTGTTATGTAAAGGAACAGTAGTGTAACGACAGAAGACAAGGGCCAGGCAACAGATCGTTTATTGAGAAAATCAACAGATATTTATATATTTTTATGTACATCATTATTCGTTATTTCAGCAGAGAAACAGCGTCTTCTGATTGGTTGTTTTCTCACTGGAAGTTATTCTGTCATCTCTTTGTGGCTGTTTCTTTGAAGGTCAGACCATATGCCTGCGAATCGTATCCGCCCACGCCAAATCTGCTGTGGTTGGTTGTTGAATTAGTCTTTGTTCTTGTTTTTTTCTGATGACCAAGTGTATAATGGACTGAAATTTAACTGAACAGAAGTATGAGTTTTTTGTGTCTTTTAGCGAATACGTAGTCATAGATCGAAGGACTCTTAACTCACACTCCCCTTTCATATATATGGCAAACGGCTGCTTATGGAATAAATGAACTGGGCCTTTAAAAATAATGCTAATGTTGTGTATGTGTGTGTGTGTGTGTTTGATATCAGTGTTTGCATTGTGAAACGAAATCCCATCCAAAAGGTTGAGATGTCCCCGCTTTCTTTTTAATTTAGTTATAGAAACTACTTTGCAATAATAAGTGCCCTTTTGCTATTTGTTGGATTACAGAAAATAGGGATCTCAGTGATATTTAGTGCTTATGTTTTTTTTTGTTAAAAGACGAGAATAAATTGTTTATGAATGGATGATTGTTTCGGGGCGATTATGTAGCTCGGTCATTAGCATATATGTATATGGCACGTTCAGATATTATTATTATTGTTCCCTTGGGTTCCTAGTGGAACATAGGGCTTCAACTGGACGCCTCCACTTGCTTCTGTCTTGTGCTGTACTTTTCACTTGCGTCCATGTTATTCCATACTGTTTCATCTCCTCCTCACACGATCTCCTCCATGTCACCCTTGGACGTCCCACTCGCCGCTTCCCTCTCAGGTTCCACTCGAGGGCCTGAAGCGCGATGTCACCGAACGGCCTCCTCAGCGAGTGCCCAATCCATCTCCACTTTCTCCTGCATATTTGCTGGGCGATTGGTTCTTGTTTTGTTTGTTCCCATAGTTTCTTGTTGGTGATTCTTTCCGGCCATCTAATCTTCAGTATGGAGCGAAGACAGTTGTTGATAAAGGTCTGCAACAGGCTGTTGGAAATATTCTTTGTGACCCGCCAAGTTTCTGATCCTTATACAAGAACTGACTTGACGTTTGTATTGAAAATCCGAATTTTGTTGTTGAGTGTGGCTGAGTGACGAAGATTTCCAGGTTGGTTTCAGGTTGATGAATGTGTTTCTCGCCTTCCTGATTCTCGATTTGACATCCTCGTCCGTTCCTCCTGTGGTTGAGACAATGCTCCCTAGATAAGTGAAAGAAGTAACCTCTTTCAAATCCCTCCCGTTGATGGTGATTGGCACTGGATGTTGCTGTTGTTGTTGGTTGGTTATTTTCATAACCTCCGTCTTGTCTATGTTCACCTGGAGTCCTGTCTTTGCTGCTTCTTCGACCAGTTTGTCGGTTTTCGCTTGTAAGTCTTCGATTTTGTGTGACATCAAACATAAATCATCCAGGCGCGAAATCCAGGTCTTCTAGGTTCTTCACGTCTGTCCAGAATATCCCTGTCTCCTCGTTTCCCACTGTCTGACGCATAATCCAGTCCACCACAATTAGGAATATCATTGGTGATAATAAGCACCCTTGTCTGACTCCTGTGTTTACTCCAAACGCTTCGCTGAGTTTTCCGTTGTGGATCACTTGACATGTGCCGTTGTCGTACAGTTGTTGAATAAGGTTGATGAATATTTGGGGTACGCCGTAGTATTCGAGTAGTTTCCAAATTACTTCGCGGTCAACGCTGTCGAAGGCCTTCTCAAAGTCTATAAAGTTGAGGTAGAGATTTGATTGCCATTCCATGCTTTGTTCGATGATAATGCGTAGAGTTGCAATTTGGTCAGAACATGATTTGCCTTTCCTGAATCCAGCTTGTTCTGGTCGGAGTTCTGTATCCAGTGCGTCCTTTATTCTCTCCAGGATGATGCGACTCAGGATTTTACTTGGCGTCGACAGGAGCATGATTCCTCGCCAGTTCTTGCAGACGTTCAGATAAGCTAGCGTGAATTGCTGAATCCCTTGTATACTGGTAAAGATGAAGTTATCACCCTGTCTCATCACATAGAAGACTTCCGATTTACAGATACATCCCAGCCACCCTATTTTCATTCCAATATATAATTTTTTTAGTTCATTCTACTTCAGCTTGGAATTTTAGGGGGAAAAAAGATGTAATTGCTTTGATTTCTGCATATTATTTTATTGAAAGGTCGACTATCACACTGTATGTGGGAGAACACACTTTGGTGGCTTTTCATCCAAACATTGACACGTGCTATTTCGAGTGTAGTGACCTGGAGTGCTGTACTTTTGCGCAAAGTTTTGCGTTGAAAACTCAATCAGTCAGTTGGTCAATCATTATATGATATCCAACTGTGGAGATTTGATATATTGGCTTAAGCACTTGGTTTCCAGCCACCTAACTCCGGGTTCCAGTCCCACTACATCTAACTCAGCCTGGGTAATTGTGTAGTCGCATGAGTCCTGACACAATGCATGTGAGACTCATCCATGGGAGATTTAGTTATTTAAGGCGAAATGTATTTTATCTTCTCATTTCAGATTTTCTGCCTTTGAAGCTGACAATAACTTGGTTGAACTTCTGTCTCCATTCGTTGGGGATTCCTTACCCTGTGTTATTGTAGATGTGAAATTTTTAATGGATAATCAGAAACAGTGCTTTTCAAATACATTGGCCTATGAACGTTTCATTCAATTCATTGGAGAATTGAATATATCACCAATAAATGGAAAACATTATAGACTTACAGCATTTTCATTCACTTTCATGGATGGTGTAAACTTAGAGTTATATAAAACTGCAACAAAAATAACTCGAAATTATGTTAAATACTTGCCTTCTGTAAATTTGTAACCTATTTTGAAATGTTTTTGTTACTTTGTATATTATTTTGGAGTTATTCTGTCAAATCTTGACCACTGTTCATATGAATGTATTACGGATGGTTTGATTTTTCTTCGTTTTTCTAAGCTTTTGTTTAACAGGATTAAACGATATTAAGAAAGCTTCCTATAGATCTGTTTAAAAATTTTCTCCAGTTCATCACATAGTGATAAGCATTACTAATTTTGTTTATCTTCAGATTGCTTATTCCAGTGCATACTTTTGCGAGATTTTATTAGAATTCATTAGATATTCCCTAGATGAACTGCTTAGACGACTTCTACAGAAATCTTAATTAAATGGTGAGTTATTTATTCAGGACATAGTTATCTAGTAGGGATTTTCATGCATCAGGTTATGAGCTACAGTTATTGTTTAGGCGGCAGTTGCACAAGTTGTAGTAGATGAAGGGGAATTCTGATCGCAGACTCACTGGCTGAAGGTCAAATGTCTAAAATCAGTACTCTACATCTGCAAGTAATAGGTTAATTTATTTAATATATAGCGTTCCGTTGCTCAGTGTGATTGTGTCTTAATCGTCGTTTTACTCTCATAGTTATATCCATCTCCTTGGTAACTCTTCCTTATTTTTCTTACTTTCATTTCTTTTGATTTCAATAGTATCAACATTTTCTGTGAATTCGTTACAGGCAACTCATCATCCCTGTTTTGCATGTTAAGTGTTGATTCCATGGACAACCTATATTATCCCACTATTTATTCAATTTTAGTACTTACTCCATTCCATATTGTTGTATGATAACGTGCCACTTTAGTTAATTGGAATAAGCAATTAACTTTCGGCTAATGCCTCCTGGCTTCGAGTCCCATTCCATTTACTTTAGCCTGAATAACTGGCCCTATTCAAGTAGGTAGTTAACTGGGGTTATAGTGGGAAGTCATGACCAGTAGGGTACAGCAGGTCGGGCGTGAGGATAAATACTCGCCGAAGACATTGGCTAGTGGTCGCGCTATGTCGTGACATTGCAGAAGTTGGAATTCATAGCCCATTGGATAGGGTAGCAGTGGCTTAATAGTCTACGACCTCACCTGCGTTTGAACCCCGGTGGGTGCGTACCGCTGAAGACTCGCAAACTAGTACGGAACAGCTATCCAGTACTCCCTGCAGGTTTCCGCAATGGTTCTCTGACTGATTCAGATCTATTGCAATTACTTTTGCTTTTTTTGAAATTAATGGAGGAATTACTTTTACTCAACCTTGGACCTTCCTTGGAAAGTTTTAATGACGTCAAACAGTTTGCATGCAAACAGGGCAGAAGTACTTTAGATACTGCGGCTGTCTTACGTCATACTATTGTTTCCTGCTTAGCCAAATATATCCAATGTACCTACCTTGACTACGCACCTGCTTTTGACTCTGTACCCTGATGCCTTATGTTAAATGAGCTTTCCCTGACACATACTTAATCCTGGGCTGTTAACCGTTAGCATTCTTGTTTCTCTAACAGAAAACAAAATATTGTATATATAGACAAATCTTCTTCCGCCTTGCTAACTGAAGCTGCAGTGCCCCAAGGTGCTGTTCTCTCTCCTTTTCTTTTTTCTTGCTTACATGACTTGTCTCTTCCGGAAGAAATTAATTTCGTTGGACATGCTAATAGTCCGAGTGTCATGTTACCATTTACGTCCCGATCTGACTTAATCGCTTTTTGTCGGACATAAACCAGTGGTCTGAACTAAATGGCCTTACTTCAAATCTCTCTGAATGTCAGACAGTTGGCTTGAGCTTCAGTTATAAACGTGATTTACGCGAACTGGTCCATTCACAAGTGATTGTAGCATCGAAGGCGCTGAAATGGGAACTAAGTCAAGCATAGAATACCTTGGAATAGTTCTATCCTCTGACCTTTCTTGATCACCTAATATCCTTTCAATTTCTAAGAAAATGTTCCGTCTAACCTACTACATTAAGAAGTTAAGACAATCAGGAATCATACAACCTCTACGTTAACTGTTTGCTAACTCTTTCATCTTACTTATTGTTCCTCAGTGCTCCCAATCAGTCTGTGTCATATTGTATAGGGTACTGGGCAAGTGGTTTGCTACTCGGTCAGCCTAGTCATCGCCTTCCTCGACGGGCAATGTTAGCTGATATAGGGTCAGGCTGGAAAAGAGCTAGCGGCGGTCAAACGAAAACATGGCACCAGTCAATGAAATCCACAACAGTTAGTCTAAGCCACGTAGGAAGGTGTAGACTTCCTGACTGTTTGAGGTCCTCGGGACCGTAAAAACCAATAGTTGGAAACAATTGGTGACATGGCTCAAAATCGTTCTCATTCATGGCGCAGATGCATCCACTCCTTGTGACTTATGATTTCGAATGAAACTGTTTTGTTCTTCGTTATTACTATTCCTTTGTCTCACACCTCTGTTTACTGTCTCTAATATGCATTTCTCTTAATTTCTTCTCTTGCTTTGTGTGCTACATGGAGTGTGGCGAGTCTACTGTTCCTATGAAGACCTGCTTCATTATTGTCTATGGTTAACTCATCTCTCTATAAATTCGCTTGATGGTTGTTAGTTGAAAAGTCAAAACTAACTCATGAAAAGCTGATAATACAACGTTTTAAAGACAGTTTTGAATTTGCTGATAAATTAGAAGGTTTAAATATCTCTAGTAAATCGATGGTGTCTTTCGATGTGTCCTCATTATCGATAAATATCCCTTTAGAACAAACTATAGGAATTGTATCTCAGCATTCCGATTTACTTCCTTTATCTGAAACGGAATTCAAACACCTTCAACTCATGTGCATTAAGAATGTACAGTTCAAGTTTAACAATATCATGTACCGCCAGATTGATGGAGTTGCTATTGGAGGTCCATTAGGTCCCATTCTAGTGGATATTTTTATGCGATACCTTGGACACAGACAAGCTTGAAGCACATGATAGATGATGTGACACTTTACAAGAGATATTCTGATAACATATTTATTATATTTAACAATATTAAATATGTCTCCGATTCACTTGATCTGTTTAACAAGGCACAGCTGGACATAGATTTAAAATGGCATGTGAGCAAACTGGAAAGTTCCACTTCCTGGATCTCTGATTTCTTTGAACTTCAAATGGAGATGTGGAAAGGTATATTGATGGTAAAGAATTCTAGAATGGACTATATCAGAATTTCCAGTTTTTGTTCAATAAGCTACAAAAAGATCGGGTGAGGACATTGCTCTGCCTCAATTAAAAAACTTTGTTCGAAAAGAGAAACTTGGTGATGAATTAGTTATTATTGAGAAGTGTTTACGAAATAATGAATATCCTTAAAAATTCATTGATGAACACAAAAGAATAACAAATATTTAAAAAGAAAATCCAATTTATATAGCTGAGAAGAAACCTATTTCCCTTAATCCTGAATTCAAAGGTGATGAAGTATGTGGAAGAACTAAATTTAAAATATATGCCTCTGTCAAGTGAACTTATCCAGATACCAGGTTAGTCTTAATTTACCGAATAAAATTCTTACTGAGATAATCATAGGTTTACAAATCCCTCTTTCATTTTACCTCCAACTTCATATACAACTTTACATGTACGTGCTGAGACGCATATATTGAACGAACAGAAAGAAGCATATGTGACCACATATCCGAAGACATTCCAAAAAACGTATATCTAAAGGGTGCAAAAGTCCTTATTAGTGCGACTACTCTCCACTTATTAGACAGTGGTCATAAAATCCATGCATTTGGTCGGGTCGCAGTGGTTTAATGGTCTACGAGCTCGCCTTGTAACTAGAAGGTCCTGGGTTCGAACCCCAGTGGGTGCGTACTAATGAGGAGTCCTAAACTAGTACGAAACAGCTGTCCAGTACTCCCAGGTTTTCCAATGGTTCTCTAACCTATGTCAGCTCACGATGAAATCCTGTAACCATTCAATCAAATCCCTACAAACCAATACTTGAAAAGTACAGGAAAGTTTGCAGTTGTTATTGTATCACTGAAACGATCGCCATCATACGGTTAAAAGGGAATTTATGCATCCCTTGAAACAACCGTTGTTAATCTTGCCTTACTTGAAGTTTTTCTAATTCCGTCATTGTTATTTTAATTTTTTAACAATGTAATTCCCTAATCTTCACTCGTTCTTTCTCCTTATTCTTAGCTGAACTATATTTTGACCACTGTTCAGTTAAATTACTTAACCTTTACCTTAGTGTGTTGTTGATGCTACACCTCTAATGGATTTGGAATATGCGTTCGTAACTGTAGGCTGTTCTATAAATATGTGTATGCATACTAACAAGGCTATCAACGAATTGTATGCCTTACCATTATGCTTTTCAACCACGAGAAGATACTATCCTTCACCTACATGATCAAAAACTAAAGTATTTCAATATTTTATATGGCAATATTAAGTTGTTTGCAGTTGAGAAAAACCAAAAAACTGCTCAGTGTGTTCTTCTTGTTTTGTTCATGCACTGACTTGTGCTAGGAACACCGTCAATACATAGTTCTGTACCATTATAAGCTACATTACAAATTATTCTATTGTCGAAAATACTCATTTCTACAATCCTATTCTATTTCTTTCTGTATGCTTTGTTCAACAAGTACGTCTGAGTGGGTAAAAATATCGATTTTACCTCTAACCAATCGGTAGAGGTTATTTTGAATTATTGATAAAAAGAATACACTCTATGATAATGCTATCATTTTCCTTTAATTCTATATTTTAGTAAGCATACATTATATAAGTAGAAGGAGAGATGTTTATAGTAGCAGTTGTGATAAATATAACTGTATTGTTTAGTATTTTAATTATTACGCATTCTCAGCGCTGTTGTTTGCGACAAGAAAGCGTTCGTCTTTGTAAAAAAGTATTTGTCGGTGATAATTTTGCAAAACCTAATTCCTTTATAAATAATATAAATGCTATTGAAAAATCAGGAATTTCTATCGAAAATCCCTCTGATAGCATGCAAAGATATTTTACTTTATTCGTAATTGATATTGATGTGTACAAACGGCAGTATGAGACAACAACAACAACAACATTTATGGGATTAGAGAATAATCATGATAACCTTGCTAATGGCAATAAAAACTCTTATGAAAATTTAAATCAGTACGTACAAGTTATTTATGCTGCCTATAATATTCCTGCCAGTTGTTTTAAGTCTTCGACTTATTGTAGACCGGATGATTTGCATTCAGTTAGTAAGCCTTATTGTTTTAGTGAATATGATGAATACAATCGCATACGAGTATTTCTCTTAGAACAAGTCAGAAACAGTATGCCAGCAATTATGCAAATGACAAATAAAACCAATTACAGAGATTTCTATAATCCAGTCTACTACAAAGGTTATCCATTTAGAATAAATGAATACTATTATCAAAGGTGTAAACGTTCAAAGAAGTATGATATGTTTATGCTCAATCATGGTGAATATCTTTCTAGTAATTATGATATTAATTTAAGGGAAAGAGTAAGTCAATTTTTCAGTAGACATGACAATACTACAACTGACAGTATTCATAGTACCATAGTAGATTACTTCCCGAAGTTAATCATTACAAATGAAACTATTCAATATGAAGAGTCGACATGTTTTTTATGGGGAGAATGGATTGGGAGAGTATTACACATCCCATCTTTATTCGAACATCATCGTTCATGTAATAATGATCCAATGAGATGGGAAAAAGAACACCAAATTCATGGAAGCAATTTAACCGACTACTTAATCCAACGGGCTAATCAATGGTTTACTTTTGCTAAAATTAACTATGTTCATTTATTCATGCATGAAAAACGTGCATCACAGCTGCAAGAATTATTGTCAAGGAACATAAAAGAGTTATTCAATATCAGAATAAGTTATCGAGCTGCGAAATGCATAAGGATTGTATCAAGGTTATATTTATTTGAACAACTTCTTAGAAAATTTAATTATATCTGGGAGCCTATCGCCCCTTAATAATACTGATAGTGATTTGTAAAGCTGTTTGATTTATAATAAAGTGAATACAGAGAGACTTTGTGAGTAATAATTGTCTGTACCCCTAAGATATGGTTTGTCCTAGAAAAAAGAAGTCTTGCAGAAGTCGAATTACTGTCTTCAGTAATTCTGTAACGACAGAAGACAAAAGCCAGGAAACAGATCGTTTATTGAGAAAATCAAGAAATATTTATAGATTTATGTACATTATCATTAGCGTTGTTGTTATCAGAGAATCAACGTCTTCTGATTGGTTGTTTCCTTTCCGAAGGTTCTTCTGTCATCTCCTTGTGGTCGTTTCTTAGATGGTCAGGCCATATATCTGCGAGTCGTATCTGCCCACGTTAAGTGTGTTGTGATTGGTTGTTGAATTCCTCAAGGTTAGTCTTTGTTATTGTTTTTTCTCATGACTGGACGTAAATTTTTGTCTACAATTTTGGCTTGCAGATAGCTCTCACCACAATTCGACACAGCGTTGCCCAGTTCACAGTAAAAATGAAAAATTTGAGGAAAGGTGAAAGTTTGTTAAAAACTGCTAAATTTTCCAGTCTTCTGTCTGCAATGGTCATACCTTACACCTAAGAAGTGGGGCCGAGATCCACCGCAAGGTAAAAACTCATTTCGGTCAATGGCAGGATACCATGAGTGCTCCGAAGATAACGAAAATTTGCAGATGACAACTGAGCTTTATCTATCCGTGTGGGGATCTCATCAGTAACTGGCTTATTGAGACTAGTGCAATCTCACTAAGGGAAGTGGTCAGAAGTTCCACTCTTTACTCAACAAGTAGTCCATGGTATCGACGATATCTTTACCCTTCGACAGATTCTGGAACATAGGTATACTTACTGGTGTCCAGCAGTGTTCACATTTGTTGACCTGAAAGCGGCACTCGATTCCGTCGACTCATAAGTACTATGGCGATATTTGTCTGTGAAGTGAATGTCGAGGAAATACAGTGCACTGGTCAAGGCATTCTACTTGAACTCATGCAGCTGATGAGAGCCTACGGAGAATTGTCATCTGAAGTGGTGACAACCAGTAGTGTCCGTCGATGATGCCCACTGTCCCAATTTCTATTTAATTTCACCATAGATGTGCCAATAGACTTAACCCTAAGTGACTTCAGCGACTCAGGGATTGACTTGTTGCCAGGGTATAATCTCGTTGACTTAAAATATACAGATGATATAGTCCTTCTACGTGAAGACACTGATATCCGACTGTCGACCAAAGGCGTTTGTGTGTGGTGCTCAGCAGTTCGTTCTGTCCTCCTTTTTGGTTATGAAATATGGTCATTGAAAGTGGAAGACATGAGAAGGCTAGCTATCTTTGATCGTAAGTGTCTGCGTTCCATCTCCCTATTTAAGTGCGTATAATAAGGTGAGAAATATTGAGGTTAGGCGTCGAGTACTAGGTAAGGAGTGAAAAACAATCGAGGTTGTGAAGTTACACCGATTGAGATTGTTAGCACACGTGTTGTGCATGACTAGCCATCACCTTCCTCGACGGGCGATGTTGGCTTACATAAGATCAGGTTCGCAAAGAGAGAGCTAGTGGTGGTCAGACTAATACATGGCTTCATCAGTCACGTAGGGAGGCGTAGACTGACTTGCTGGTTGGGGTCCTCGGGATGGTGAAAACCAGTGGCTGGAGACAATTGGTGATATGGCTCAATGTCATTGTCAATGGTTCGCGCAGATGCATTCACTCTTTTTGATTTTTCATATCCAATAAAACTCTATTGCTCTTGAATATTACTATTCTTGTTCCTTCATAATTCTGTTTATTATCTCTGTTTTGAATCTTTCTTTACCCTCATCTCTTGTTTTGTGTTCTGCATGGAGTGTGGCAAGTGGAACTACTGGACATCTGTGCAAAGTTCTACGTTGAAACCAGTCATTTAAGTAGTCAATGCAACATCATATCACATTTGACAAGGACCACTGTCATGCCAAATACACTTATATTCTTAAATAAGGTGTCCAGTTGACGCTACACCTTGTCAGATTTTCCACCTTATATGGCATTACCATCTGTGTAATGCAAATCAAAGAGACTTTTCCCTGGTAACAAATCGATCTCCGAGGCAACCAAGTCGACTAGGGTTATAACATCCATTTATAATACAATTATAAATTACTAGTGACACTAGGTATCCTTGACGCATACTACTGCTTTCTGTCAATTAGCAAAACTCGACAAGCTTGTAGTGAACCTGCTGCGGAACCAAAATAACTCCAGGGCTAAAATTAATTGATCAAATCGAATCAACTTAAAAATTACTTGCAACGTTTGAGTAGATTGAAAATCCCCATTGAGTCATATGAAAAAGAGAAGACATTCAGCGAAGAGACTCTTTTCGGCGAATTCATTCACATAGCTGTACAATCGCATTTATATATAAATATTTGTGTGTGTGTACATGAGGTTTGTCAAGTTTAGATAATTGATTAGTTAATACAAGAATGATGTAGTATAGAGACAAAGTTAATCAGACAGCAACTAAAGTAAGACTGAGTTAAAAAACTAGATGACGTAATATAATTGGCTAAAATGTTACAACTTAGGTCAGGATAGCAACAGAGGTAATTACAGGTAGAGATTAAGTAGAAGTGAAATTGAGTGAATAAGTTGGATGACGTAACATGAATGACTAGAAACTGAGCGTTGTTCAAGTCAGTAACAGTGGTAGTGGGGTGTAGAGATTGAATCGGGTGGGGGTAGAGAACAAGAAAGTTGAAAATGTAAAATGTTACAATTGAGAAGACAAAATAATACTAATGAAGAGACAGAAGAAAAGATTAGGTAGAATTTACATGTCGGCTAATAAGATAGATTACGTCCATTGCAAGTGTAGTGATTGAACGAACTTCTTCTGTATGCAGAGTTCAGGACTTAGCAAGTGGATCGCCATTGCTTCTGCAGTTTGAAGAAGTCTGATTCGTACACCTTTAGGGAGACTACTTCTTACTCTGTAGACGACTTTGAAGTTTGTTTGCGGTGTAGCTTGGTGTCCGGATTCTATCAGATGTTCTAAGATGGAACTGCGGGGGCATCGATTTTCTCCTTTGTAAAACCATGCTGGTAAGTGCTCGGTGATACGTTTGGAAAGCGAGCGCTGGGTACGGCCAACATACCTGGCTCCACACGAGCAGGTGAATTGATAAATGCACATTGATGAGGCCAGCAGCGGTAGCTTATCCTTCACGTTCACATGAATCATAGGTTTTGTGGAGAAGGTTAGTCGTAGTTCAGCTGCGAAGAAGGTCTTCTTAAGTGAACGCGACAGTCGATTTTTTAGCGTTTCCGCAGATAGATCTCCATTGAATTGGAGGTTCATGTAGAGTAGTTTTTTCTTGACGTTAAGTATGGGCGGCTTTTCTGGTCTAGGATTCATAGATTTTGCAATAAATCTTTCTGGATAGCAATTCTCGACGAGGATTCTCTTGAGGTTGTCCAGTTCATCTTCTACGGTGTCCGGGGTGCAAATTTTGCGAACTCTGTAGCTGAGTGAACGGATCAGGTTTCGTTTGGTGTATAGTGGTACCCAACTGTGAAAGTTAGTAAGCTGTCCGTTCCACGTCGATTTTCTGTGGATAGATCTTCTCAGTGTTCCATCCTGTTCTCTTCTGGTTAGTTGGACGTCAAGAAAAGATATTGTGGAGTTGGACTCTTTCTCCATCGTGAACTGAATTGCAGGGTGGCAGTTGTTAAACGACTTTAAGATGTCGTCTAGATTTTCTTCGTTGTTGACGATAATGAAGGTGTCGTCGACGTATCTTTTATAGATTTCGAAGGTATTGATCATTTTCTTCAGGCATGTGTTTTCGAGTTTTGCCATGAAGAAATCTGCAAGCAAAGGGCCTAGTGGTGAGCCCATAGCTATACCATCCTTTTGGCGATATATTTCGTTGTTGAAAGAGAATTGAACATTCAGGGTACACCTCAGTAGGAGTTCTTTAAGATGCTCGGTGGGTATACCGATGTTTATTCCTTTGGAGTGAATAAGTTCGCATATATAGCATATTGTTTCAGTCAGTGGAACGTTTGTGAATAGTGATGTGACATCTAATGAAATCATTGTCTTGTTGGATACGTTAATGTTTTCGATTGAGTCAATAAAGTCGAATGAATCTCGAACTGTGTGGCAGGAAACTTGTTTTCTGATTGGTTCAAGTAGATCTGCTAACCATTGAGCTGTGCGGTGATAGGGTGAATTGGTCATGTCGAGGATCGGTCGAAGAGGGATACCCTTCTTGTGTACTTTCGGGAGTCCGTAAAGTCGTGGTATATTTGAGCCAGACGGTCTAAGGGATTCAAACATTTCGTTGCTGATGAAGGATTCAGTCTTCAACTTACGAAGGGTGTCCGTTAGCTTTTGTTCGGTTTGTTCAGTCATGTTTTTCTCGTTGATCGGTTTTGTGAATTTGCATTCATCGGATAGTATAGTCAGCATTTTACTGATATAGTCCTTGCGATTCATGATTACGATTCCTCCGCCTTTATCAGGACGTAATATCATAATCTCTTTGTTTTTCATAAGTTCTTTCAGCTCCTTATGGTGCCTCTTCGTCAAGATGGACCTTCCGTTGTGTTTGGTACTTATAAACTTGTGACAACAGTCGAGGATTGATGCTTTGAATTGTTGTAGGTTTTCGTCTGATGTAGGTGTGAGATCGTAAGTTTGGTTTATTAGATTTTCGTACTGAACTTGACATTGTAGCTTGTCAATACTTGGTGGTTTTACGCAGAATTTTGGACCTAGAGATAGTGCCTCTAGTTGAGTAGTAGACAGTGTGATGTCTGAAATATTGAATACGTACCTTTCTGGATTGCTTGGGAACGGAGATTCGGTATTAATTGTAGGCTTTAGGCTTTTGAGAAGATCTGCTTTAGTCTTGTTACGTTCTTTCTGAGTGACTTGTTGTACATATTCTTCGAAGGAATGGCGTAGTTCTTGATCTAAGTCTTCGACT